ACTAGTCGTTGAACACAACAGTTGTAGCTTTCATTTATCCTATTATAAAACAAAGAATAACTATGTACATTTAATTTTTCATTTTTGAAACAGGAGATAATTTTGGATGATCAAAGGAGCGATAAGAAAGTTGAGAGATGGAAAAACGTTCAAAATCTTCATACAGGACAGATTTGAAGCATATTCTCCAAATAATTCTTTATCAATCTTTTGCTGAGCTAAATTAGTAATGAAAACCCGAATTCCCTCGTCTTTAAATTGTACATACGCTTGAATCCACAGATTCATTCATTACATCTACATTGTCATTACAAAGTGTAGCGAGTGCACTGACTCGTGCGCCTATACGGGAATATAAGCGCACGACGTCGCCGCACGAGCGGCGACCGCATGTATAACAAACGAATACCGAATAAAGAGAATCAGTCTAATTGTTACCAGCAAACCCGACGTGTCTAATTATCGAATATTCTACCCTACCTTTAGCTACAGATCCAAAGATAAGAGCTACGGATCCAAATAAAAAAGGTAACGATCAGAACACCCTTAAATTGGCGCTGCAACAAACGAAAGACTCACAACATCGAAAAAAATAGCGGAATCGTAGACCAATAGAAACCAAAAAAAAGGGGGAAAAAGAAAAAATCAAAGTTCCACGTGTCAGTGAAAGTGCACAGAGAAATCAAGTGAGCGATTTGTGATAAAAAATCATCATCACGCAAAAACTATTCGTGTACCAAAACAGTGCATAATAGAAAAACATAGATCAAAATCCACTCACGCACCGAAAAAGTGAATAGAAAAATACATCGGGCAAAATCCATTCATACACTTGAATATCGGAGAAAAAAAACCATCGAGCAAATTCCATTCGTGTATGTGAAAAAGCAAGAAAAAAAAGACACACGCGAATTAGAAGAGCGAGCGAAGGGACCCAAAGAAGAACATAAGCAAAGCGGAGGTGAAGTATAAAAACGAACGAAAGCGGCCAAAGTGTGGGAACGAACAGCGGCAGAAGACGAGTAACTGGACACCAACTTGGAGACAGCAGAATATCAGAATCGAGTACGAGCTAATTGTTGGGATAGGTCGTTAGGTGAGTACTGATTTGCATGTTTTCAAAGTGAAGTGTTCATTTTTTGGTTGATTTCGATTATTTACACTCGGCTAAAATCAAATGGTGCAATTAAATATATAATTCAGTAGTCAGCAAGCACAACCGAATTTGTTCCGCATACCTTTTCGTTTTCGTCCGGCTCGTTAAAAAAAAACAATTAAACACACATAGCATAAAATCGAATTTGGCATTTGCTACTCGTGCACTTTTCGAATTCGACTCCTCAATGCAACGAACGCCACCGCCAAAGAAAAACGATAATAAAAAACAGAGCGATTCGGGCTATTTATCTCATTTGTTGGATTTGGAAAAAAATTTAAAAACGATAGAAGATCGTACGGTTCATGATTTGACCACAGGCCGTAGATCGCTCACATTTAGCGCGCCCGAATCGTCCTCAACATTTATTTTCAACAGAAGTCCAGTACAAGTGAATTTGAACGAGACTTGGCTTGACGGAGCTGCTGGTTTAGACGCACAGAGTCAATTTTTAGATCCAAATCGAATTACACAGTCGCACCACGGCGGTTCAGTTGTCGATCATTATCATTTCGATCCGTTTGAAGCAGCCGAAGAGACATATTCGGTTTTGACAGACAAATCCATCGGTAACTTATCGGTAGAAAGGGAACAAACTGACGGAAAATCAGACGATCAGCTGATTGAAGTAACAAATAAAGAACCGACGGAAGCGGATAAAACAACAGACACGGCGAATGGTAATTCGGAAAACGCGACAGATGCAACAGCGAATAATTTGACTCAAAGCCAACAGCCACCAAACAACAACAATAATATTAACAACAACAATAACAACGATCGTAATAACGACGCTTCGAATCCTGAAAACGGTAGAAATAACAACAATAATAACGATAATAACAACAATAATAATAATAATAACAATAACAATAGGAACAATCATTTTAATTCTTCGGATTCTGAGCAAGAGGGCGACGAAATGGCTTTATCGTTGAACAGCATTATGAAGGGTATTCCCAAATTCATAGAAACTCATGATGGAATATTGCAATTTATTGCGGAAAGCGACCTCATTTACGACCTGAGTGAGGCAGGCCAAAGGCCTACGGTGCTGCGAATAATAAAAACACGACTAACAACGGCACATAAGCTGGGCAATACAACGAATGACAGTGGGAGCAAATAAAAACAAAAATGCGTGAAAAATATAAATTGACGATGACATATGAAACAGCTCAAGAGAGACTGTTATCGATCAGACAGGGACAGAAAGAATCGATAGATGCATATGCCGAACGGGTGAAAAAACTGTTGGACATGCTGAATTTAACATCGTCAGGCGAAGACGCGGAACGAAGAGTTAGCAGTGCGGAAATTCAAGCAAAATATATACGATGAAAGAACGCGTACAATGGCACTCAGTGCGGATCACAGAAGCTTGTATGAGTCAGTCGCACACGCCACAGAAAAACAAGAGCAAATGCAATTATCGAATGTCGCTAAAGATCAATCAAATGAACAAAAACAAATCAATAAAAACAATAACAACAACAATTTTAACAAAGGTAACAACAATTTTAACAAAAATAACAACAACAACAATAATAAGAATAATAAGGGTGATAACAACAAAAACAATAACAACGCTCAAAACAACAACAGCAGGATACCGTGCAATTTCTGCAAAATGACAAATCATAGACCGGAGCGATGTTTCTTTAACCCGAATAGAAATGACGAGCAAAAGGCTCAATCGAGTGGATACAACTCTCAACAAAACAAAACGAAAACATCGAAAACAATGGGTGCTAGTATAGAAGATGCATCAAATTCGGAGGGTGAAGAAGTATATGAGGCAAAGGTATCGACGGGTGCCACATCAACTCCGTTATTGCCAATGCATTTAAACTCCGAACGGTGGATGCACAAATAGAATCCACAGTGCATCCACCTAAAAATCAAATCGAAAAAACCGAAATGCTTGAGCAAGTAATCAGTCGTATCTCAGTCGAGAGCGCCATTCAACTGGAAAACAGAGATCTCACCATAACGGCGTATGTATCAATATGTAACAGATTGGTGAAATTCCTTATTGATTGTGGTGCAAATGCTACGATAATAAGTTACAAGCTCCTAAAGCAAAACATTCTGTACTACCCACAAATAAAATATTGTATGACGGGAATAAACGGACCGCAAAATGCAGTAAAAACCCACGGCGCTACGTATGGCAACATAATCATAAATGGCATAAAGCTAAGACAGCAGATGCAAATCGCGGGTGACGACATTCACCTCAATTATGATGCAATTTTGGGACTTGACTTCCTGTATGCCTACGGTATGATCATGAACCTGAGATGTCTACAAATGAGACTTTTATTGCCAGCATGGCATGAACTTTATGAAAAACCCGAGCGAGAAGCGTTCGAAAAATTGGAGCCTAAAATAAATAAAAAAATGATAAAAAATGAATTGATTTATTCAGAAAACAAAGTAAAAAACACAAGCAATTGTGAAAGCGAGCTCCCTAAAAACGATAAAAAAGAAAAAAGTTCGAAAAAGTCATGCAGGCTCAAATAAATAGACTCGCAGTGATTGATTTA